TGGGGCTTCTGCGCTTCTCCACGCAACAGATACAACTCAAGGGCTCTGCGCAGGAGTTCAGGCCGTGGCGTTGTCGTCTTTTGGTTTTTTTAATTGACGGACTCGACAAGGATTTTATCCCAGGTTGGCCGGTAGAACCCTGATGATTGCTTTGGTCGAAAACTGAATAGGAAAAAGGACACACCTTGCATACGAAGATTGCAGGGGAACCGGGAAAGTGACGTTCATCCGAGAGCCGAAGTTGTAACCTAGCCTGCTCCTTTGGAGTCTATCTGTATAGAGTTGACAGCTTTTGGGTCTTCATTACAAAGTTGGCAGCTCGGTTATATAATATCTGCACCAGCCATTATAGAACTGAAAGTCTAAGATTTCCTGAGGCCTCAGTTGTCACCCCCGCACAGTGCCCTGATGCCGAAATCGCAGTTCTCCGGTTCTCAGGAAATCTCCCTGATCAAGTGACCTATATTACTTGTTCTGGCCATGGGGCAGAAGGAAAGCCGCGATGGGGAGACACTGGACGAGCCGGCAGCGCAACCCGCGCAACCTGCGGAGGGACCTCCTTTCTCAATCTTTGCCTCGAAATTGCCGCTAGGCTTTCTATAAAATTTGGCCTTTCAGGGATAATTTTGGGTTTACATTTGAGGGAATGTTTAGGGTTTGGTGTCAAGGGCCTTATTATTCCCTCAAATTTGTGAGTGGCTTCCCTTTCGTTTATCTGAGGAAATCCCTTGCACGGCTCGGCCTTTCTTTTGCGGGGTCACTATTATTTTGGGTTCCTCACTATGGCTCTACATAACTAAGATTAAAAATACCCTATACTATATATAACTAAGCTTAAAAATACCCTATACTATACATAACTACAATAAAAATACCCTAAAACCTTACCCTCTTCTTGGGGGCATGTATGTTGGGGCTCTGTGCGGTTCGTAGTACCGGACGTGATGCCTCAACAGCCTCACTGAGCAACCGGCCCCTATACCAGAGAACCTTTATAGGACTCCTTTTCAAGGAACCCTAATTTAGGGTTTAGGGTTTAGGGTTTAGGGTTTAGGGTTTAGGGTCTAGAACCCTAAACCCTAAACCCTAAACCCTAAACCCTGAAAGGAACGCTGTAAAAGGATCCGCATTCTCAGTGTCCAGCCTCCAGTTCAAGACTGTTCGAAGCCTACAAACCCCTTCTAAAACCCTTATGGAACCCTAGACAGCGTTTACAACACCCGTATAAAGAACTCGTATTTTGGAACCCCCAGCCTACACCCTTAAGCCCTAAACCCGTACCCTCATTTCGACGTTTGGTTCCTGACAACTGGCTGGAGTTTCCTGTCAAAAAATAAACCTTGGACCCTAAGCCCCTAAACCCTACCTCAAACTACCATAACCTACTTTTCAAGGGTCTTCTTAGGCACCCTTGAATGTGGGGTTTTTGGTCTGGGCCCTGCAAAAACCTAGGGTTTTCATAGGTTGAGGTGATCCCTAAACCCCAAACCCTAAACCCCTAAAGCCCTAAACCCCTAAACCCCTAGACCCTAAACTCCCAAACCCCTAAACCCTAAACCCCTAAACCCCCAAACCCTAAACCCGAAGCCCCTAAACCCTAAACCCCTAACTCCGAAACCCCAAACCCGGTAGTACCCGCCGGGTGCCGCGAGGTCCGGAGAGGGTAAGACGATGGAAGGCCTGGCCTCCAGCATGCAGCTGGGGGAGCTCAAAGAGGCCCCCTTTTAGGGTTTGGGGTTTAGGGTTTAGGATTTAGGGTTTAGGGTTTAGGGTTTAGGGTTTAGTTAAGTACCCAAAAAGGGTTTAGGGTTTAGGGTTTAGGGTTTAAGTACCCAAATACAAAGAGGCCCCTTTAATTAGTGCGCTTTGGAGTACCATACTTTAATACTTTTCTTTGGGACCTGTTCCTTAAAGGAGCCATTATGAAAAAAAAGTCTATACTTCTTTCCCCCTGGTTACTTCAAAGCCCAGAATTAAGTACCCCAAAAAGGACAGAAGCATAAGCATTGTATAGGGATATCCCTACCGTATTGGGCTTCATTATATGGGGGGGGGGGGGGTTGTTATGGGATATCCCTATCCTAATTGTTGCTTATGTGCTGTTTTGGGGCCCTATTTAAAGGCGGGTTTTGGGTTAGGGGCTCAGGGGTTTAGTGTTTAGGGGTTTAGGGTCTATGGGTTTAGGGTTTATGGGTTCAGGGTTTAGGGCTGCCTGCAGGATTGTTCTTTCTGTGGTCCATGTGCCGACATAGTATATCAAAGAGGCCGCATATGCCTTAAAAGGGGTTTAGGATCTAGGGGTTTTGGGCTGGAGAATTGTTGATGTTTTGGGGTCGGGATAGGATGCATGAAGTTCTTGGTTTGAGGTTTGGAGTGCATGGGTTTAAGGCTTAGGGATTTGGGTTCGAAGTTTGGGTTTCGGGTTTGAGGTTTAGGGTTCAGGATTTATGATGTCGTAGGCCCTAAACTACGCCCAACAGCCCTAAGCCAACCAAGAAACACATATGAGACCCTATAAAGCCCTAAAGTCTTACTCCCAAGATCCTATAGCGCCTGTCGACCTTGGCAGTGAAACCTTGAGAAACCTTCGAAGCAAAAAACCAGTTTAGGGTTTAGGGTTTAGGAACCTTATAAAATATTTCGAAGCAAAAAGCGCCGAGAATGCCCTGCAAGGCAATCTGCCGCGACCTCGGTCTGCACAGCTACAGCACGCAGCTCTTCCTTGATCGCCCCTTCGATGGCACGGACGAAAGCAAAAAAATCGGTGACTTTGTCTTCCACAGCCAAACTTTTTCTGAGTTCGTCAATACCCAACCTTTAACCTGTACTCGTATGGGTTGTCATAATTCAGTATGACACTGGAAGTTTAATCTTCATTTCCCTGGCTTATTGGGGAAGGAAGTTTTTGTCAGGTTTTTTGATCCAGATGGTCTGAAGAGCCTTGTATTTCGGCTGTACACTTTACACGCTGGCAGTTGTTGGAACTTTTCTAGCTGCTCTCAAACACAACAAGATCAGCTGTTTTGCGTTGGTTTAGTAGTTCCAACAGGTTACAGCTTAATGCAGTTTTAAGCTTTGGTTGCCAAATTTTGGCCCTAAACCCTAAACCCTAAACCCTAAACCGGAAAGAAAGGTGACCTGGGCATCAAAGAGGGCGTTCAGCTTGAAGTGGTTGTCTGCGGATTCTGCAGGCCAGCGCTCTCCGTCTTAGAGGGTTATAGGGGCCGGGTATATGGGTCTAGGGTTTGGGGTTTAGGGTTTGGGGTTGGGGGTTTAGGGTTTAGGGTTTAGGGTTCAGGGTTTAGGGTTCAGGGTTTAGGGTTCAAGGGGCCTGGGTATATGGGTAGTTTTCTAAATTAGGGTCCCTTTTTGGGTGGGTGCCGTACTATATTGGGGACCTCAACAGGACCCTAATTTAGAGAGCTACCCATAAGGGTTTCAGGTTCAAAAAAATATAGGGTTTAGGGTTTAGGGTTTAGGGTTTAGGGATTCATAGTACAAGGGTAAAGGGCCCATTACTTCTAAGGGTCATTTCGTCCCCAAGGCTGGTATATAGAAATATTGAGGCCAAGGTCCTGGCTTGCAGTATAGTATCATCATACAGAGACTATACCAGGGTTGTGGGGGTATGCTATGCTATAGACCAAGCATACTATAATAGGCTCTACTATACCGTACCATGTACTATATAGTTCATTATATGCTTTATACAATATACTATCTACCAGCTACCAGCTACTATTCACCATGTATCGTATACGATCTAAACTTATGTTCCAACTATATACACCGACATGCTATAGAGACTAGAACAGGATTTTGGCGAGTATTGCAGCATGATCATATCGGGGCTGTAGTAGATGTCTGCATATACAGATTAGAACGAGTGGCTCAGGTACCTTCTGCAAAGGGTTCTGATAGAGGGACTACATAATATAGGGGTGGTAGTCTTACGAATCGTGTTCGCTTATTGCACGGTTACTGTACCTGTATACTGTAATTCTAATGTACGTCCACACCCTATTCTAATTAAGGGTGTATCTTAACTCCTAAACACCTACGTTTCTTCGGACTTTTGCAAGGAAAGTAGATTATACATACCGAACCCTCAAAAAAGCATGACCATCATACAAAACAACCCTTGAAAGAAATCACCCTCAAAGGAGCCCTCTTCTGCTGTCTCAGCCCGTTGCAGAACCGACTCCCTAGACCCTGAACCCCAACCCTAGACAGCCTAAAGCCTAAGCCCCAAACTCTACCTAGACTCTCCATGGTAGTTCTTTTTTTGTTTAACCAATTCTATATTAAGGATCCTAAAAGGTAACCCCAAAAAGGAACTACAATGGAGACTATAGGTAGACCCCAAAAAGGAACTACAATGGAGACTTTAGGTAGACCCTAGATGCCCTCAAGCCTTTGACGTCCTAACCCTGGACTAAAGCCTAAACCCTAAACCCTACCACACATTGAGGCCTAAACCCTAAACCTTAAACCCTAAACCCTAAACCCTGTTTCGCGTAAGCCCTGCTGCAGGCAACTCCCCGGCAGGTGGGAGCCCGCGGCGGCAGATCGTTCGGATTGGATGCGGAATCTTAGTTTGGTTTGCGATGGGTGGCCTTAGTAATCAGACACAATTAAGTGACAATGAGAATAGTCATACAAACACGAAGAATTCAAGTATCTCTAATCATAGCAATAGTACTGTACAAGTTAGTCGTTTTTTTTTGGCCTTTTCTATTGTATACTTCTGTTGTTTTGGGGGTGTCAGGGTCCAGGATTCAGGGTGGGGCTTATGGTAAGTAGCTGAGTACGTGGGCCATATGCTTGTCTTTGTTAAGCTGCCTTGCTAGGTTTTTTTGGGTTTAGGGTCTAGGGCTTGTCAAGGAACTTGGCTGAAACTTACCATCATAGGATCTCTTGTAAACAAAATTCGTCGGTTTCCCTATGATGGTAACTCAACGCAGGTTTCCTTAGAAGAAGCCCCAGAGCAACTCAGGAGAATGACCATCGCAGAGGATGGCACTTTCACCTGCAAGAGTGGCCAGGACCGGCTCTTATATTAGTAACCTAAACCCTAAACCCTAAACCCTAAACCCTAAACCCTAACCCATAACCTTCATAGTAGCCTTTCTGACAGCTCTTCTGGGAACCCTTATGGTCCCCATTACCCTAAAATTCCATGTGCTCATATAGTATGTATGTTGGCCTTAATGTAGTTCCTATTGGGGTACTTTGGGGTCTATGTATATATCATACCCAAAGGGTCCAAAGTACCTATATTGTAGAATGTAGGGTTTCTATATCAGGAATCCCTATTATGGTTTGGGAAAGTATCCCCCGTAACAGTACCTAGGACCCTTTGGGATATTAAACATGGACCCTTTGGGTTACAATGCCTGGTGCAACAAGCCCTGAGGTCACGGACGGCTTGGTGCGCCTACTGTCTGCATCTGAGCGGAAGATCAATCTGAAGAGGACCTGTTGGGATGCGAATGATCACATTTTCGTGCTGGATGAGTCCGGCACGCAGATGACCGGGCGTTGTCCGCAAAGCGGATCAACGTACACCCTCACGAAGCAGTGAAGTTGCTGCGCTCATCAAGATGAGCAGCTGAAAAAGCAAGTCCTGTCGATTTTTCTGCGAAATGCTCTTCAAGGTGCTAGCGTGAGGGACTTATGCTAAAGAGGAACAGGGTCCCTTCTTTCGAGCGGTCTGTCTCGAGCCCCTTTATCTGACTCTTTGGGTATTGGGTGCTTAGAACTTCGAGTGCCGGCTTGTTTTTTAGATGATTCCGGAGCAGAAAAGAAACCCCAGTATCAAGACGGTGTAGGGTTTAGGGTTTAGGGTTTAGGGTTTAGGGTTTAGGGGTTTAGGGTTTAGGGTTTAGGGCCAACCCTTCTCCAAAAGACGCACTGAAGGCTTGAAGTTTTTTGACAAGCCTAGCCTCTTCAACAACAACCAAGGAGCTTTGAAACAAGGAGGGAGAATTTCACCCTACACCCTAAAACCCCTAAACCCTAAACCCCTAACCCCAAACCCCAAAAATCCTAAACCCNNCCTAAACCCCTAAACCCCAAAAAAACGCAAACCGTATAGAAGCACTGGGACCCCAGATCTGTGCCCTTTCCTCATCATTGCGACTCTGAACGGAATACATGGAAAGGTCGCGGTGTCTTTTCAAGGTACGGTTTGCGGACTTCGGCTTACTATGGTAACTAAACCCTAAACCCTAAA